ATCCCTGTGTGACACCTCCACGGGACACACAGCCCCACGGCGAGCCAGCATCCCTGTGTGACACCTCCACGGGACACACAGCCCCACGGCGAGCCAGCATCCCTGCGTGACACCTCCACGGGACACACAGCCCCATGGTGAGGCAGCATCCCTGCGTAACACCTCCATGGGACACAACCCCACGGCGAGGCAGCATCCCTGCGTGACACCTCCACGGGACACACAGCCCCACGGCCGTGGAAAGCACACGTTTCCCCAACAACAGGAAACCAGCCAAGCCAATCAAGGTGTTCATGTCTGAACAAAACCTTCGGTCAACGCGGCTCCCACTGCTCAGAAAAATGTTTGTTATTCTAAGTCTGTAATCGCCACGGTCTTCACACCTTCGTTGGATTAGATAGAACTGTTTGTTCCTTTCTGAAGTAACAAACCAAAGCAGGAGGGCTGATTCAGGCGACCACTGGCTACTTCTGTCGGTGATTCTCTCTCCCACAGTGACAAGGCAGACACAGCCCGCTATCCAACTAGAACGGGGTATCAGAAGGTGCCTGGTGTCCCCAGCCTCCAGGGAACAGCCTTTGGGAAATTGTCTTTGCCGTTACCAACAGCCCTGGCACCCCTCATTGCTCCAGACATCTCCCCTCCTCTCTGGCCCAGCAGTGCAGGCAGATTTGGCCGTCCCAGTGGGCATCACCCTCAGCTTTCCCCTGACCACCCCAAGCCCAGCCCCATGGGTGAGAACAGAGGCTTTTGGGAAACATGGACCTTCATTTGTGTAACCCCTGGGTGATGGGGACTCCTGAATGGGCCTTAATTTATTTCCTGATTCATGTAGCACGTTGCCTGATTTGTTCTTTGTCGGCTGGAGACCTGCCCAGACGCAGCCAGCCCTGACGGAGGGGAAGAGCTGGCGGTGAGAACAACTGCTCCCTGACCAAAGCGCTGCAATCATCACGGATTTAAATGTCATTTGGAAGCATCCATCTTCCCACTAAAATCTAATTATCATTTCCAACCCATGCAGATTGGTGATGTTAATCAGATCAAGAAAAGCAGCTTCTAGCTCAGCAACTTCGGAGCAGTGACACAGCCTCAGGTCTCCCCATGAAACGGAACCAGGGCCCTGTGACCGATATCACACCCCAGTGCTTCACAGAATCCCAGACTGGTTTGGGTTGGAAGGGACCTTAAAGCTCATCCAGTCCCAACCCCCCTGCCAGCAGCAGGGACACCTTCCACTAGACCAGGTTGCTCAAAGCCTCATCCAACCTGGCCGAGAACACTTCCAGGGAGGAGCAGCCACAGCTTCTCTGCCCAACCTGGGACACTGGCTCACCACCCTCACAACAAAGAATTTCTTCCTCACATCTCATCTCCATCTCTCCTCTTCCAGTTTCAAGCCATCATCCCTTGTTCTGTCACTCCCTGCCCTTGGCCAAAGTCCCTCCCCAGCCTTCCTGGAGCCCCTTCAGGTACTGGGAGGCCACTAGAAGGTCTCCCTCTCCCTGGAGCCTTCTCTTCTCCAGGCTGAACAGCCCCAACTCTCTCAGCCTGTCCTCACAGCAGAGCTGCTCCAGCCCTCGCATCATCCTCGTGGCCTCCTCTGGACTGGGTCCAGTAGCTCCATGTCCTTCCGCTGTTGGTGGCCCCAGCACTGCAGATGGGGTCTCAGGAGAACGGAGCAGAGGGGCAGAATCCCCTCAGATTCTCGTGGAGCAGGATGAGGCCAGTGGGGAATCTCTTCCTCATGTCAAGGTCCAAGGTGTCTGTTTGCTGTCACCACTCCAGAAAGAGCTCTCCATCAAAAAAACAGAGGGGGAGGAAAAAAAAGGAAAATGCTGCCAGTCCCAAAGCCCCGACCGTGGGAGCAGGTCCTGGAGGAAGGGGCTTTGCAAGCTCATGGCAGCAAATTGCTCAAAAGCTGCACGGCTGACAGTCACTGCCCTGCTCACCCCTTTCTCCATCTTTCTCTGCAGCCATGAACACAATGCCTCTAATTTACAGAAACAGGTGGAAAAACAAAAGTCAGGAAGCCCCTCCTTATCTCTTCCTTCCTCTTCCTTGTCAATGATGAAGGAGTCTTGCAGTCTGTGAGCTGTGTGCCTAAATGGAATTTATAGACTTGCTTCGAGACCTTTTCTGTATCTTGTCTGAGAAAAGTCAATAATGGCTCAATCAAAATTTTTTATAATTTGCTCGGCTTTGACAGAGGCATTTCACACTGAGCCTTTGTGAAACCCCGATCACACGTGCCCCTGAAAAACAGCCATGGGCTGTATTGATCTGCAGCTCCTCATTGTGGTTGGCGTTACAGCTGGGTCAGGGGTTTCCTGCCTCACAGCTACTGAGTGCAGAGGGTGGAGAGGTGGGGGTGGGTCTGTTCAACCAAGGACCAAGGGACAGACAAGA